TTTCAGTAGATTCTCATATATGGCATACTCGTTTAGGGCATCCATCTCAATCTAGAATTGATGTGCTCACTGATGTACTGTCTTTAACAAAACCTATAAATAAGAATAAGATTCATCATTGCTCAGTTTGTCCTTTAGCAAAACAAAAACATTTACCTTTTAATGCAAATCAAAACATATGTTCTTCTTCATTTGATCTTTTGCATATAGACACATGGGGTCCTTTTTCAAAAGAAACTCATGATGGATTTAAATACTTTTTAACTATAGTGGATGATCATAGTAGAGCAACTTGGATATATCTTTTAAAAGCAAAGTCTGATGTCTTGTTTGTTTTTCCTGATTTCTTGAAAATGATTGAAACTCAATATGCTACTAAAGTAAAATCTGTTAGATCCGACAATGCTCCTGAACTAAAATTCACAGATCTTTATCTAGAAAAGGGCATAGTTGCTTACCATTCCTGTCCAGAAACTCCTCAACAGAATTCTGTAGTAGAAAGGAAACACCAACACATCTTAAATGTTGCTAGAGCCTTAATGTTTCAATCTCAGGTTCCTTTAGAGTATTGGGGGGAATTGTATACTTACATCAGTATTTCTTATTAATAGATTACCTACCCCAGTCTTATCCAATGCTACTCCTTATGAGATTCTCACTAGTCAAAAGCCTGATTACAGCCAACTTAGAGCTTTTGGTTGCTTATGTTATGTGTCCACCTCTCCTAAGCAAAGGCATAAGTTTCAACCTAGAGCCAAAGCATGTGTCTTCTTAGGGTATCCATCAGGTTTCAAAGGTTACAAGGTATTGGACTTGGAGAGCAATGTCATTTCTATTTCCAGGCATGTTATTTTTCATGAGGAAATTTTCCCGTTTCTATCTTCTACATTGACAGAAGATACACGGACCTTCTTTCCTCATATTTCTTTCCCTGCACACCCGATGAATCTTTGCCTTTTGCACATTCATCTTCTGATGCACCTCCACATTCTGATGTGTCATCTTCTGAGAATCCTTTGCCTTTGGCACTAGATTCTCGCAGACCTACCAAACTCCCAGCACATTTGCAGGACTATTATATGAATAATACTTCTTTCACTACTCCTTATCCTATATCTAACTTTCTCTCTTATAATAAACTAAGCATTTCTTTCTGCTCTTTCATTCAAAATATTACTCTTACTACTGAACCCCGTACTTATTCTGAGGCTAAGAAAATGCAAGAGTGGTGTGATGCCATTGGTGCGGAGCTTGGGGCTATGGAAAGAACTGGTACTTGGTTGATTTGTCCATTACTATCAGGTAAGAAGGCTATTGGTTGCAAATATGTCTTCAAAATCAAACATAATTCTGATGGTACTGTGGAGAGATACAAAGCTAGATTGGTAGCTAAAGGATATACACAGGAGGCAGGACTTGATTTCAAAGACACTTTTTCCCCAGTTGCGAAGCTTACCACTGTGAAGATCTTGTTAGGTATTGCTGCAAAACTTAACTGGTTTCTTACTCAGTTAGATGTGTCAAATGCATTTTTAAATGGGGATTTAGATGAGGAGATCTACATAGAGTTGCCCCCTGGTTATGAAGTTCCTGCAAGTTTGCAAACTGAAGATAAGATGGTCTGTCGTTTACAAAAATCCATTTATGGTCTAAAGCAGGCGTCTAGGCAATGGTTTCTGAAATTTTCATCCACTGTTATTGATTTGGGTTTTCAGACAACACACAGTGATCATACTCTTTTTACCAGATTCATTGATGGTGTTTTCATTGTCATTCTGGTGTACGTTGATGATATAATCATTGCAAGCAATAGTGGAGATGTTGTTCCTATACTGGTATCTCAGCTTGAAGCTGCTTTTCAACTCAGAAATATTGGTGAACCACAATATTTTCTTGGCCTGGAGATTGCTAGATCTTCTGCAGGAATCTCTATTTGTCAAAGGAAATATGTGTTAGAATTACTTTCAGATACAGGATTTCTTGGAAGCAAGCCGTCTTCAATACCAATGGAGCCTAATCATTCTCTACACAAAGAAGATACTCCATTGCTACCTGATGCAGAAATTTATAGGAGACTCATTGGAAAATTGTTATACCTCTGCACTACCAGACCTGATATAACCTTTGCAGTAGGTAAACTTTGCCAATTCTCCTCTGCTCCTAGACAAGTTCACTTGTTGGCTGCTCACAAAGTTCTCAGATATCTGAAAGGCACTATTGGGAAGGGTTTGTTTTATTCAACAGATCCTGATTTAACTCTTAAAGGTTTCACTGATTCTGATTGGAACACTGATCCTGATTCAAGAAGATCAGTTTCTGGTTATTGCATGTTTATTGGTGATGCTCTTGTTTCTTGGAAGTCTAAAAAGCAACGGGTCTGTTCTCAAAGCTCTGCAGAAGCAGAATACAGGGCCATGTCTTATGGTACTAAGGAACTCGTTTGGATAGCCAAGATTATGAAGGATTTACTTATTCCTTCTCCTATTACTGCATTGCTTTATTGTGACAACTCAGCAGCTCTTCACATCGCAAAGAATGCAGTCTTCCATGAGCGCACCAAACATGTGGAAAATGACTGTCACTTAGTCAGAGAAAAGGTGCAATCTGGTTTCTTGAAGACGATGCACGTTCACACTGAACATCAACTGGCAGATCCTCTTACTAAACCTCTGTACCCTACTCAGTTCTCCTATTTTATATCCAAGATGGGACTCCTAAACCTTTATGAGGCTCCATCTTGAGGAGGGCTATTAGATATATACAGTATACCACATTACCGGTTTCCTTTATCCGGTTATGTTAGATTAATTATACGGTTTAGTCTCATTATGATTTGTATATAATCTCACTTTGTACAACATTCATTAATTAATGAGAAAGCCTTTATTTAGTTTGTCTTTCTAATAGTTCTTGTAAATAACTAAGAAAATAACCAAGATCAATTTTAATGAATTTTTTCTTTTTAAGGTGAAATGTCCCCTTTGACTAAGATGAGATCATATTGCTAGATTAAAGAATAACAAAATAAATAATTAAATGTCGGTTGACTGAAAAAAAGAAGGGAGAAGTCCGTTTAAGCATAAACAGGCAACACTTGTGACTAATCTACCAAATCAAACGTATTTTAAAAATTTAGACCAAACTTGACCATTATTCACCAAAAATTGTAAAAGCATAAAATTAACAACAATTACAGGACTTAGTGGAACTACGTAGGGTTATAAAAAAACAACAAACAAGATACATTTATATATATAGTCAGTTTTAATCTATATTATTCATATCATATCCCTACAATAAACCGCCATTCATATCATATTTTCAAATTGGCCCACGAACATCATCTTCATCTCGCATTAAACAACATTGATATCGCTTCGATGCAAGGATCAACCCCAAACACCTGCAA